TGTGTTTCTTGACGAGATGAATAACCAGTGTTATAATGTCCGTATTGTTACTTGATTTACTATATTCTTGAAGGAAATCGGTGAGTATGTTTGTAATTGTTGTTACTAATTCTCCGTTACCTTCATTGTTAGTGTTTGTACTTTGTCTGCTGGGCTCGCTTGTTGGTTGCTGATGTTCTTCTCTGGTCTGTGGTTGTGTTTGTTCGTTTTGTGTTTCTTGACGAGATGAATAACCAGTGTTATAATGTCCGTATTGTTACTTGATTTACTATATTCTTGAAGGAAATCGGTGAGTATGTTTGTAATTGTTGTTACTAATTCTCCGTTACCTTCATTGTTAGTGTTTGTACTTTGTCTGCTGGGCTCGCTTGTTGGTTGCTGGTGTTCTTCTCTGGTCTGTGGTTGTGTTTCGTCAGCAGTAGGATGAGCAGACAGGAACACTATGAAAGCAGCTACAGACATAATGTTGTATTCTGCTTGCTGCACAATATCTACCAAGGTGGTTCTAAGCGGTTCCTGAATACATCTGCGTGTCATTTGGGGACTTCCATGCTTCTTGTGCTTGGACGTTAAGTTCGCGATGAGCTGACGGATTTCGGTCACCTTACCACTTCAAATCACTTTTCGCACCCCAATGCTAAAAGAGTGCGAGAAATGCAATGCTTTATTTATTTTTTTTTAGCCAACAAAAATGTAAAAAAAGATTTAGTTCAAAATTAGAAAAACCGGATTTTTTTTTCAACAGAAATGTCCCCCACTGGTTTGTGGGGGGGGGGGGCTTGTTAAAACTATCGTACCTTAAAGTTCGTTTGCCTCAATGGAACAAAATTTCTCCATAGGCACATTGAGAATCGTAAGATTTATCCGAGAGAATATGGAAAAGGGGAAAGTTTTAAAAACAGTATCTAACTTACTACCTAAATCGCGTTTCTTTCAAACTAGTATTGCCTTTATTCTTACTTTCAACTCTGCAATATTGGTAATTTAAATAAACTGCGTGTATATGTGTGTAGGATATTGCGAGAATTGATAAACAATGACGAAAAGCGTATCGAACATCTGCGACATTTTTGAAACACCCTGTACCACGTTTAAACTTTCTTTAAAAAATAAAGCTTGTAATCGTCAATGTGCTACTGGTGAAATAACTGCCCTAGGGTAAGATTTTAAGATAAGGTCATTTTAAATATGGTGCTTTCTTTATAATCGCCCTATAATTTGTTGAAAACGGTTGAGGAGACCATTGAGAACTCCCCCCTCCCCTCACGTGCAACAACACATTGTCTTTACTGATTTGGTACATTCATTGGCAGTCAACCGTGCCTTGTTTTTTTTTTTGTTCGGGGCTGTCCCCTATATCACACCTGTTCGCAAGAGGATTATGCCTATCAAAAACTGCTTCAGTGTCCATTTTGGGTGTGCTATGTTTGGGTAGACAGAATTTTGAGGCGTAGCGTAAGTCAGCTTGAATGTTTCTGTATTCTGTTGTGCTTTGTTTACATTTCTTTGTTTGCTTATATCGCAGAGAGATTAACATAGAGATGTAAATTCTAGTAAATAAAACTTTTTCTTTGGCTCATGTCAGTCGTGTTCCTTATTGACATCAGCTGTATTAAACTATAGAATAAAGACGTTTCCCTGGCTGTTATTAACTGTATTAAACTATAACAAAGACGTGCACTTGGTTGGTGGCAACTGTATTAAACTGGAACAAAGACGTGCACTTGGTTGGTGGCAACTGTATTAAACTGGAACAAAGACGTTGCACTTGGTTGGTGGCAACTGTATTAAACTGGAACAAAGACTTGCACTTGGTTGGTGGCAACTGTATTAAACTGGAACAAAGACTTGCACTTGGTTGGTGGAAACTGCATTAAACTGGAACAAAGACGCGTTATAGTTTATATCAGTTATACTAATCTGGAACAAAGACTTGCTCTTGATTGGTATCAGACATATTAAGTTGGATGAAACACCTGTTCTGGTTGGTATTCATATTAAGATAGAAGAAAGGCATGTCTTTGGTTAATATTAGTCGTATGGAACTTGAGAACAATGAAGACGTTTTCTTTATTGATATCAGATGTATTAAACTTGAGAAGAAAGATGTGTTCATGGTTGATAGTATTCTAAGTTGATTTGCAGTTTAGAAAGCTACAATGATTTTCTTACACATCGTACCGTTATCGCACAATGAATGTGTATGTACAGTTCATTAATTCCTCCCATATCTTGTAAAAGTACGGGTATTTACTATACATACAAAACACAAAATACTACGAAGGATGTCTAAGAGGACTTGACGGGATGTATTTGACTTAGACCAACAAGATATCAGCACTTTACCTTATACGAACAACAGGGTTTAAAAGAGGTGTGTGTCTTAATACAAACAAGATCCAAAGAGGTATTTTGGCAGAGATTTTCCTAAGGAATAATGGAAGATCGCATATTTTGTAGTCGGAATTTTCTAAATACTGTATCCAGGAAGTCGAGATCTGACTAGTTTATAGAATATGAAGTAAAAGGTGATGTTACTTTGAGAACTTTTAGTTTATAACCTTTCTAACAATCGTAGTAAAAATCTTTCATTTACTTTAAACTTATAGAACGTTGCTTTTGATTTCTTTATTTTACACTCGATGTGACTAGGGATTTATTAAATCGCTGTTTTAATGATACACACTTAATTTTTTAAAATTCTACAGAGCGTCTATAAATCAACAATAAGTTCCATTACAGCTCTTAAAATGACCAATAATTCAAGAAAGCGTGCTTCATGTTCTATACAAATGCGCTTGATGTTACTGTAATTGTGGTCATTTTTAACTAAGCTTGGCATTTCTTTTAACAGTGTCATCAGGTGACAATTGGAACGTTTGAAATAATTTTTCTAAGTATTTCTATTTCTCTCTACCAAGTCTATAAGGTACAACCATGAAGTTGCTGCTATGATGGGTCTTGCCTGACATGGTGTATGCAAAGACTCTTTTACATATCAATGTTGAAGTCAGTTCCTTACTTCTCTGATAATTCATGCTTGAAACGAGTTTAAATTAACTCCTCGGCTGCCTCATTTCTCGCCTCCCACCTTAGGATGTAGTTGCTTGACTCTTAATCTAGTAAGTACATGAATATATTCTGGTTGATGTCTGTTTTCTATCCCACATTCAATGAGAAAAGATAGGCTGGAGGCGCTGGAATGAAGGTAAAGTATCATTCTAGGTCCCAGAGATATCTAACCTAGAATTCGTTATGATATTAGGAAGTCTTTAATTTGATTTCTCTTGCCCATGGCAGTAGGCTAGTAGCACTTATCTCTGAAATAAAACTTGTAAAAATAAAAGAAGCTAAGCCCATTCTTTTTAGTATTTTTCCCCTCAACCCAGAATCAACAAATTGTCATATTTTTGAAACTGTCTTAGACTGCTTTACTGACTTTCGTGCCAGGTGGCGTTACTTAATCTTCAGAAGGATGGGAAGATGTATGTTACTGCCTGGAGTGACATTAACCTCCTCTCTTCTTTATTATTATTTGTGTTCCCTGTCCACTGACGGATACCTTAAAACACAACTTTAAAAATGAGGGTGGTCTTGATTTGGGAAGTCAGCTGCTTATCTTCAACTGTTCGAAGAGGTAGCATTCAAGGTTGAGGGAAATTGAAAGTGGGGAAACTGAGAGAAAAAAATCTCCGCTGCTTAAAGTTTTCTTTTTAAATAGATGAAAAAATACCAATATGAAAGGGAAAAATAAA